TTATTATACGTAATATAAGCTTCAATCTAAGGTAAAATTCAACCACAAACGCTTCGCAAAACGCTTGTAAATAGCCGGGGGGAATAAAGCCGCGGCACATTTTGAATTTATCAATATAGTCTAGGACCTGTATAGATGTTTGTATGCGTTTCATTTAGCATCTCAACTGTTTCAGGGTAAAATGACCATGGCGGTCAACATGGCATATGTGCCAAAACCTGAATCCGGGGCGAAAGTCCTGAAAATGACCCCGCCCTGAAACGGCAGTGCCGACATAGCTCTAACTTCCAAAAAGCAAAAGAGTCGCCTTTCTGAAGTGCTTATAGTGTATAGACAGGCTGCTTTTAGGGGTGGTCATTGGAAGGAAAAATTTGTCTAAGTATAATATTTTACCAGAAAATAACTATGCATCACCCCAGGTAAATTGCTGATTATGCACAAAATAACTAATATGTCTGGCAGAAATTTAATGTTCTTATTTCCTAAAGAAAATTATCATGGGATGAAAAACTATGCTTAAGTTAATATAATTATTGTAGTTTTCATAAGGATTGTCATTGTTTTCTTTAAATATAATACATTTTAATTCACTCACCCCCCACGAAAACACCATTTCAGCCGTACTTTGCCGTCTTGTTTGCTTTTTATCGCCGAGTCTCGCTGATATCATCCAGTTGTTGTACTTTTACAAAATGACAGATGGCTAAAGACGATTTCGACGAAGTTTAATGAAGTTTTGAAACAGTGCAGTATATTTTATCTTCGATATTGTGTCCTTCGATATTTCGTCAAATTGCCGCCATTTTAATGGCTCGCCGCTTCTCTGCCCGATAAATGCCACTTCTTCGTCTTCCTATGTGTTTAGACTACAGTATCCAAGAATTCTTCGTAGTAGAATAGTCCCAATCGAAAAAATGAAAACATTTGCCGGGTTTGGATGGCAAAACCCTACAGGTAATCATTTAGGTTCAAAATAAAATACAAAGCATTTGAAAGTCACGCGCAATCTTCGCGAAAACTTCTCGTGGACACATGACAGGGCGGATGGAATATTTTCACGAAATGTTTGTTCGCCACCACAGAAACCTAAAATATATTGTATTTATTGTATTTTTATGAATTATGATAAAAACAATAAATATTTGGGTAGTTTTATCATAATTCATAAAAATACAATAAATACAATATATTTTAGGTTTCTGTGGTCAGTGTGGTGGCGAACAAACGTTTCGTGAAAATATTCACCCCACCCCTGTCATGTGTCCACGAAACGTTTTCGCGAGATTGCGCGTGACTTTCAAATACATTGTATTTTATTTTGAACCTAAATAATCACCTGGAGGGTTTTGCCATCAAAACCCGGCAAATGTTTTCATTTTTTCGATTGGGACTATTCTACAGCGAAGTACTCTTGGATATTGTAGTCTAAACACATAGGAAGACGAAGAAGTGGCATTTATCGGGCAGAGAAGCGGCGAGCCATTAAAATGGCGGCAATTTGACGAAATATCGAAGGACACAATATCGAAGATAAAATATACTGCACTGTTTCAAAACTTCATTAAACTTCGTCGAAATCGTCTTTAGTCATCTATCATTATGTAAAAGTACAACAACTGGATGATATCAGCGAGACTCGGCGATAAAAAGCAAACAAGACGGCAAAGTATGGCTGAAATGGTGTTTTCGTGGGGGCGAGAGAATTAAAATGTATTATATTTAATTTAAAGAAAACAATGACAATCCTTATGAAAACTACAATAATTATATTAAATTAAGCATAGTTTTTCATCCCATGATAATTTTCTTTAGCAAATAAGAACATTAAATTTTTGCCAGGCATATTAGTTATTTTGTGCATAATCAGCAATTTACCTGGGGTTGTGCATAGTCATTTTCTGGTAAAATATTATACTTACACAAATTTTCCTTCCAATGACAACCCCTAAAAGCAACCCTTCTAAACACTATAAGCACTTCAGAAAGGCTTTCGCTTTTGTTTTTCGGACGTTAGAGCTATGTCGGCACTGCCGTTTCAGGGCGGGGTCATTTTCAGGACTTTCGCCCCGGATTCAGGTTTTGGCACATATGCCATGTTGCCCGCCATGGTCATTTTACCCTAAAACAGTTGAGATTACCTGTGCTAAATGAAACGCATACAAATATCTATACAGGTCCTAGACTAATTGAGTTAATCATGAATACACAAGCATTAGACAAGACTTCTTTTTAAACAATTGTTATGGCTCTAATTTGGAGGCTGGTCGCGCGGTGGTGGAGAGATTTTCAAGTTTTTTTAAAAAAAATAGTTTTTAAAAAGTTTTAAAAGAGTTTTAAAAAGCAAAAAAAGTTTAAAAAGTTAGATTTTTAAAAAAGTTCATTAAACTTTGCTTATGTTGCATGCTGCATGTACTTAATTTACAGCATCAATTAATGATAAATTGCATTTATTTTGTGTTTCTCAGCCACCAGACACAATTAAAAAAAGGTTGCTACCTGTGTATACTACTTAAAGTTTTAAAAGAGTTTTAAAAAGCAAAAAAAGTTTAAAAAGTTAGATTTTTAAAAAAGTTCATTAAACTTTACTTATGTTGCATGCTGCATGTACTTAATTTACAGCATCAATTAATGATAAATTGCATTTATTTTGTGTTTCTCAGCCACCAGACACAATTAAAAAAAGGTTGCTACCTGTGTATACTACTTAAAGTTTTAAAAGAGTTTTAAAAAGCAAAAAAAGTTTAAAAAGTTAGATTTTTAAAAAAGTTCATTAAACTTTACTTATGTTGCATGCTGCATGTACTTAATTTACAGCATCAATTAATGATAAATTGCATTTATTTTGTGTTTCTCAGCCACCAGACACAATTAAAAAAAGGTTGCTACCTGTGTATACTACTTAAAGTTTTAAAAGAGTTTTAAAAAGCAAAAAAAGTTTAAAAAGTTAGATTTTTAAAAAAGTTCATTAAACTTTACTTATGTTGCATGCTGCATGTACTTAATTTACAGCATCAATTAATGATAAATTGCATTTATTTTGTGTTTCTCAGCCACCAGACACAATTAAAAAAAGGTTGCTACCTGTGTATACTACAAAATAAAGCTAAAACAAAGTAATTTTGATAGGAACGCCAACAAGATATAGGTTTTTTGCACGATTTTCATCGCAAATACGCGACAACACTCAGGAGTGGAAAAGTGCCTCTTATATCATGGGAAACGCTGGTCCCCAGCCAATAACGAATAAATTTTTCGTGATTAAAAATATAACTTAAATTTGATAAATATACTCACTACATTCTCAAATAATTACTGCTTTAAATGTTCACTGTTTTGACTTAATACATCGGCAGTCAAGTAACTAGGACAGTCGCGGTAGTTCTGCATTATTTCAAAATAAGCAGAATAAAATCAACACGACCTTACGAGAAACTGGCAATATAATCGTGTATAGATGTGCAGGTAGTGAAGATCGGAAGCTAGTATAAAGTTAATCCGATTTTCTTTATATGTATACTTGCATGTATGATTTTATGGAACTCAAACACTAAAAGTGAATAGTATATTATTAATTTTTGGTACTGCACATATATTACTTCCAAACCTATTGCAAATTTAACTAGAGGGCACTCAGAGACTGCATACCTCCGCCCATACAGCCTACACCCAGGGTGTATAAACGCGAGTGCATAAAGCAAAATTTATGCATTTATTAAATAACACTTAATAAGTTTTTATTTTACAAGTACAGTACAACAACAGTAATATGATCTATTAGCAATTCGATTTCAATTTCCAGGGACCTACAACTGAAAGGGGCGTTTAATCACGTATTTCCCCCATTTCCTATTCTTACGCTTTTGTCTTCTAAATTTCCACGGAAAATTTAGTTGAAAACGAAACAATTCCCTGTCTTCTAATTTTCCCTGCATACTTGAAATTTAGAAGAAAAAAGCGTACCTCATTACCTCTCATTGGAGAGCTGTACCTCATCAAAAATCATCGGCACAACTATGGACAGTATCTGATGACACCGTCCCGCACACATTCGAACATTCACTTTGCTAGTTTTTATTCCGCAATCTTGAACATTTCAATTTTGGGAGAAAATTCGGTTTATGCGCATGCCTAAAAAGAATGAACACGCAGGTGTGTTTCTGCGCGTGCATATATGATATGAAAAGTGTTCATCCCACAATCATAAGACAATCCCAAGAGACTTTTACTAAACCTCCCTTGGTGTGCGGGTTCATTTTACCGTTACTATTAGAATTTGAATGGCCTAGCACTTTGCTGAACGCAACGATGCGTAACTCCGTAAGTCTACATTGAATTTCGGTCGCGTGAAGACTAGAGGGCACTCAGAGACTGCATACCTCCGCCCCCATTGAATTTCGGTCCTGTGAAATGCAACTAAGACAATAGATAATGAAGGCTGAAGCTTAATGAGGTTTATCATCTCATTATTGTCTTCTTAGTACTGCGTGCGTACATTATACACGTCCTAATTACGCATTCAGTGAGTTTTTTTTAATTACCGGGAAAAGCAAGACAAAATTTTGTTCACTTCTCATTCAATTTTTAACCAAATTCAACCAAATTTTAATCAGTTCTTCCTTAGCCGATGGAAAATGCATTAAAAAAATTTCGTATGAATATGTTTGGTATTTCTTGAGTTATCGTGCTCACAGGCAAACACACACACATACATACACATACTCATACACACACAAACACACACACACACACACACACACACACACACACACACACACACACACATACAAACCCAGATGATTACATAACCTCCTGGCGGAGGTAACAAACCCAGTTGATTACATAACCTCCTGGCGAAGGTAACAATGTTATAGACAACATTATATTGGCGACGAGGATCGTTTCGTATACAAGTCCCTCAAATGGCGACTAGCTTACCAGAATTTGCTTCTTTTGACGCCGAGAATTAGGAAAATATCGAAATTCGATGGCAACGATGGTTCATGCGATTCGAAAATCTACTGATTGCACTCGATATAAAAGACAAGAAAAGAAAACGAGCGTTATTATTATACTATATCGGTGAAAGTACTCTAAATATCTTTGAAACACTGCCAGAGACAGGCACAGAAGATGATTATGACAAAGCGTGTCAAACTTTAAATGAACACTTTAAACCTCGCAAGAATACATCGTTTGAAATATTCAAGTTAAGGAAAACAAACCAACTTGTTGACGAAACTCTAGATCAATACCATGTACGACTCGTCCAGAAAGCTAAGTACTGTGAATTCTCAAACTTAGATACTGAGATAAAAGCTCAAATTGAGCTAGGGACCAATTCCAAACAACTTCGACGATATGCTTTCCGTAAACCAAAACTGACTTTGGCTGAACTCTTAGACTATGGACGGACACTTGAAACTGTTGAAGAAGATGCGAGCGGAATTGAGCACAATATGAATGAAACACCAATGAAAGATATCCACGCCGTACGACGAAATACGGCTGCTACAACGCCTAAGACAATATGTTTCTTTTGTGGATTAAACTGGCCACATGTGGATGTTTGTCCGGCAAAAGGGAAAACATGCAACCATTGTCACAAGCAAAACCATTTTGCACGATGTTGTAAATCGAAAATTTCAGCTGGACAGCGTGAAAGTAAGTTTCCTCAGAAATCCAATGAACGAAGATCCCAAGTGAAACAAATAGACGAACAAGGTACGAATTCAAGCTCAGATGAATATGTTTACACAATAAAAAACAAACCTTTGATACTAACAAAGTCGTTTTAACATCTATCACCACTTCACCCACAGGAGGAACTGTTAATGAAGTTAACAGTGACTGTCGAAAACGAAATTTCTACACCCATATTAAAATCAATGACATAACTATTCGTGTAAACATTGATTCTGGTGCCAGTGTAAATATTATCGATAATACTAGTTTTGAGAAATTAACACGCCAGAACAACATCCACTTGATGAAAAGCAAAATAAAACTTTTTGCTTTTGCCACTAACACACCCTCGACATCAAAAGATATTTCGAAGCTTCAGTTGAATCAGGAACAAAAATTACCACAGCCCAATTTTATGTGATAAACACTGATGCTGGATGTCTAATAAGTGGAAACACTGCAATTGTGAAAAACTCTGAGAAAAGGAGGGATGTAGTGTCGAGCATAATTAACATAATAAACATTAATTATGGACCACGAGGAAGTAAGCAAGATGGCGATATAGATGGAACTGTAAGATTATGTTCTGTTAGATATTATTAAAGAAAGCAAAGATAACAATGTTATAGACAACATTATAGTATTCACTTCTGGTATCGAAATTTAAATTTTGTGTTTATTTTGGTATCGAAATAGGTATCGGTATCGATGGATACCGATCTTAAAAGTATCGGTATCGAATTAAAAATCCTGGTATCGCCCATCACTATTCAACATAACATTCGATATAGTGTAAATTAACTCATTTCAATCACTCAAACGTCAAAATGATAAATAATAATCATTTTCAATCTATTATAGTAATTCACCGTTTCCACGGGTTTTTATACCTTTTATACCTTACAATAAAGCTAAATCTAAAGGAAGTAACGTTATTTATAGATATAAATTTGTGAAGGAAATCTAACAGTGAATCGCTTTTGATAAAATCTTGACCCACCTTGATTTTGTTAATGTAACTATTAACGGTCGCTTATAAAAACATTGCCTATTCGCTTGTTTCTGTTGGGGTCTACACCGTAGACTAACTCGCGTGAGAATTTTAAGTTTTCTTATTTTGACATAATAGCTATTTTTCAATAAATATTTAGATATTAAACTTATTGAATCAATATTTTAAGTTTCACGCCTGTTTTACCAAAAGTTATAAGCGCTATAGGCTATAGCGCGTCATAAGTTTCAGATGGCATGCAACATGTACGCACTGCGTACCTATTTTTAACATTAATATTACTGTTATGGATTGCAATCTTTATTAATTTTATTGCATGAAGTACCGGATTTTTAGGAGAGGCGTGGGAAGGTATGCACTTTCCCCGAGATCGTTTTGACCTCCCATGAAATTTTTTGAACCTCCCCAGAAAATCACGCAACTCCTCTTTGGAAAGGTCAAATGATACAATAGATCAAAATTTGACGAACTTTTACGTGTTGCTTAGGGTCTACACTTCATAATAATGTTTTTCTATAGAAATGAAACAGTGATAGCCATTCATCTCTGTGTCAAGTACCCTTTCAATGAAATGTTTCGAAACAACTTTGTAGTAATGAAATGAAGGGGAAAGTTGGTCATACAGTCATAATAATTCATAGTTCCTAGCCATTGCGCTTACGCGTGAGGCACTTATCCGCCTGAGACCGGTTGTATGAAAGGCGTTTAACTTGCTATCCGCCGGATAAAATTTAAACGCTCGAGAAATCGCGTTGTATGAAGCCCGTTTGTGGCTATCAACCGGTTAAATTTTGCCTATCCATCGTGTAAACTTATACGGTCTCTTGAGACCGTTTAAATCGCTATACGGCGGATAAACTCGGAGTTTGAAGATAAAACAATGATTTGTCCCAAGTTTTTATTGGCTGATCAAAGCGATTAACGCTAGCGAACACATTTTTTTCGACTTTTGGCGTCTTGTTGTTTATTTTGTATACTTGTTGGCTTTCCAAAGTCATTGTTTACTTTGAGCACCTCGCATGGGACTTTCAGTGTCCCGTTTGTGCTTTTCCGTTTGAGTGTATCTACTAATTTGTGATTTGTGACGTGTGTTCTGTCTTTTGTTTGTCAAGGTTTTATCTTTGTTCCTGATATAGTACGTATGTAGATTGCTCAATCAATCAATTCATTAAATAAATTAATTAATTAAATTGGGAGTCTTACTGCTTGTTTTCAAACTATATAATAGAAGAAAAGAATGAGAAAAAAACAGAGTATACCGGGTGTCCCAAAAAAAGTACTCCTGTTTGATTCGTAATAACTTCTAAACAAGTAAAGCTTTTTTAGAGAAATAGCTTGCATTAAATAGAGGAAGGCCTAACTTAGATTTTGATATATTACAGTTGTATTTCACTTAAAAATTCACGGAGATATTAATCTTTAAAATCGGGAGCATATTTCTGGATGTGTCTGAAATATGCAAAAAACGGCGTATCAAATATTAATCAAAATTTGCCCGACTGAAACATGCACTATTACCAGTAAATAAATGACACTTGACAAATTGTTTATTATGAAACAAAGTATTATTATATCTACAAAATACAAGCAAGATTTATTCATCCGAAATTCGCGTGTGTTCCTAGCACGAATACGTTTCCTTATTTCATGAGACCACTGCATCGCGAAGGATCGTCATGGATCGTTCGTACTTCTGAATTAGGGCATGCTGTCACAATGGAATTGTGAAGCTCTTCTAACTTTTGCAACGTTCTGAAATCTTGTTAAGAACACCCAAACTCTTTTGCCTTTTCTTAATCTTGGCAAGTTCAGAGTAAACTGAGAGTTATATGAAACACAATCAAACCATATAACTCCATAAGACATAACAATTAAGCAACTCCCCAGAGACATGCAACATTTTTGGAACAAAACGTAACAAAATAGTAGCGTTGATACGCTGAATGTGTATTTGCAAAAAGCAATATTATTTCCTTCAATAAAGAATAATATTCATCCTGCTCTAACCGAGAAGTAATCAACTCAGTCTGTTTGAACCCATTAAAAACATAAAAAAATTAGGCTATTTAAGAAAAATTTAAGCGCCTGCCTTCCATGGTCTTTCATGTACTTTTAAGTTTGTAAAGACCTAATATTAAATACTTGCATAATTTCGAACGTTCATATTTCAGGAAACATTGAGCTAAGACTTACATGTAAGATGTCTAAATTTACGCCATATCCCTTACAAACCCTAACGACAATTCGCTGAAATACAAGTTGGCCTGATATGTCATTAACAAACAAACACTGGAGTTAATATTTGATATGCCGATTTTTGCTAATTTTAGACACATCCCAAAAGATGCTCCCAATTTTGAACATTAATATCTCTGTGGATTTTTAAGTAAAATGCAACTGTAATATGTCAAAATCTAAGTTAGACCTTCCTCTATTTAATGCAAGTTATTTCTCTTTAAAAGCTGTACTTGTTTAGAAGTTATTACGAAACAAACAGGAGTACTTTTTTGGGGGACACCCGGTATATACTTAACATCTCAGTAAACATGACACTGGTGTGCATAAATATAGCAAAGCCACGGAATTACAAGTGAGCAAGTGACCTCAGTGTACCTCAAGACCAAGCCAGTTAAAAGTGAATTTTTCGTGTTTATTGGATTTAAAAAGATAACTCCTCTACATGATTGTGCATTTTTATAACTATCCCATGCTTTTTCATCCGAATGACCGAAATAAATGTTCTTAATGTTCTTTTTTTTTTGAACAAAAGTGCAAGGTCGAGGAACAAATTTTAAACAGTATAAAACTGAATCAATTGACAAAAGCCAAATACAACTTACAGTTTTTGCTATTGCCTTCGACTCTTCGCATAAAGAAGCCAAAAATCTTTAAAGAAATATCCGTAAGTGAATTTATGTGAATGAGAAACTCAGCACAATGTGAAAATGAAAAGTTTGATACAGATTTGCAGCAACGAATGGACGAGCAAACTCCAAATAAAAACAACAACAAACTTTATTGCAAAAGCTTAGTGGAATTCACAAGTTAGATAAAGCTTCAAAAGTTTACAAAGGCCTAGCAACAGCTGACGTAGAGGTAAGAAATTTCAAGAAAATTCGGTTTTCTCCGGTTAAATTAATTAAAGGTTATCCTACAGATAGTTAAGAGCGGTTGTCTGTAATAGTCAGGTAAGACGTGTAAAATGAAAAAAATCAAAATCTTTGAAACTTTGTCAGAATGTAGTCCTATATGAAGTATTAATGTTGTGAAAGTTTTATTTCGATCGGATAAACATTGAAGGAGAGAGACGTCGAAATTGGGTTTTTTCCAGGCCACTTTCGGTTTTTAGAAGTCATTTTACGCCACTATCAAAATCGATCTATTTTGCACAATAATGGCAATATTTCACAAAATATGATTTCATTTTATAATTCAGACATTTCTGTAAAAAGTGAATATTTTACAGATTTTCTTAATGTTTTTTTTTAATTTTTATTTTTGAACCTCTTTATTATATGCCATATTAGGCAGCGAATATCTCTATTGTTACATCGATTCAGACAAAAAATTCATAACCAGATCAAAGAAATATGTTTTCGCTTGCTATTGATCAAATAAAATTTGGGGCAGCTTAGAATTGAATATTTGACGAATTTTTTCGTAACCCTTATTTGACCCGAATAACCGTATGTTATGTAATCAACGTCGAGATGTAGGTCTATAAATAACCAAAGAGCTTGTCAAAAGCGTTTATTTCTTCAAGTATACAAGCCTAGGCCTATAAAACTACCTTAGCTAAAGCTGTACGATTGGCAGGAAGCATTTAGATCTAAATCACACTGTTTACAGTCGCTTATTGTTCAGGTAATGCCTATAATATATTGTATAGCCGGCGCCGCTGATTTTGGCGGGTTTGGTTTTAATTATATTTTTTAATATCAGGGATATGCCGCGATAATTATAGCAAGTATATTTTCTCTCCCCTTCCCATAAACATGTGTTCTTTCACGACTCGTCGTGCTTATAACTTTTCGAACATAAATAGTGCACGCGCTTTTTGTCAAAAACATAGATCAGTTTACGTTGAAATTGTAATTCGTTTACTTACAGTAATTAATTTAATTGGATTTATGAAATAAATTATATTAATAACGAGCTG